ATGATTAAGGGAATATCTTAGGTACAAGGAATAAATTACAAAAGGTGATCAGTATTATGCTGTATTTGTTTAGAGCAAGGGAAAGAAGGGACCTTCCTCACTGCAATTCTGGGTATTCCCCCAGACAGACCTGGGCATCTAAGAGACCTAACCCTCAAAGAACAGCAGCAATTAGGCTAATTCTTCATATATATAACATACATATGCAGAAAGAGAGAATGATAACACAAATATGGAGAAATATTATAATTACTGAATTCTACATAGAAGCAATAAAGGAGCTCTCTATATTTGTACAGTGGGAAACTAATATTTTAAAATTTAAAAGTTACAAAATTATAGTGTTTTAGAAGCAATTTTTACAGATTAGTTGCTAGCTATGTCAGATCAGAAACAGAAGATGTGCCACACGTTTGCCTTGTAATGCAGAGAAGAGACAGAGAATTTTTAATCGTATAGTGAAGAACCCTACTTCAGGTACACAGACACAAACTACTCTGCCTGCAGATAAATTTGTGGGACCTTCTTCCTTCCAGAGAGAGAGAGAGATGCAAGTGAAGTACTTAAGAAGGGGACACTGACACTTCCTCTGTTTGTAAGAGAAAAGGAAATGAGAAAGCAAGGGACAGAACCACAGTAGCTGCTCTGGATCTGTGAAGCAGCCAGAGAACCAGGTATGGCCAGAGTCTGGGAACTCGTTAGTCCCTGAGAAGTGGGATGAGAACAGGACAGTCTTCTATAACAGGCTCAAGCTCTCACCACTCTGGGTCAGCAAGGTAACCAGGCTGTAGCACTGCTCTGTAACACCCTGAGACTGTGCCTCCTCCTCTACAGGCAACAGAGAAACACAAAAGCTTCTGATGCTGCCCAGTGCAGCTGAGAGTCCCTTCGCTGAGAAAAACAGAGCTTTCAGTAGTCAGCCCAAGGTGTCTTCTCTAAGAGCCCTTCGGCCTTGGGACATTTGGAAGCAGGCAACCCACCATCATTCTCTATGTGATATGGATATGCATGTTGACTGTGCACCAGGTGCTGATACTGCCATTCTGGGAGACAGTCCAGAACAATACAGAGAAAATGCCGCCTTGTAGAGTTTTTTATTCTTAAATATAATGAAATAGATAAATAAGATTGAATAATATGACAGATTGAGCTACAGAGAAAAATACAGCTAGGCAGGACAGAGGTAGGAAGAGTAGGAGCTTCCAGATGTGATCTAGCGAGGAAGCCTCACTGAGAAAAGTGACCCATGCAGAGATCTGTTGCAGCAACAACACTGCAGACAGGGGGAGCAAGCCAAGGATCTCAGGACACACAAACCTGGCAAGGCCAGCGAACAGTGAGGAAGCCAGTGCTGCTGGAGTAAGGCGAGGGGAGCAGAGCAGGCAGGATGGAAGGGGAAGTGTCAAAGAAGCGGACAGCAGCAACATATGGGCCAGCCAGAGGTGGCAGACACCCCACAGGCCACTGTAGGGGTCATGAAGTTCAAAGGGGAAAGATAACTCTGAAAGAACTGTTACGGACCACTCCACCCATCTCAACCCCTCCCTGTGGGCACCAGGCCTCATTTGCTCATCACCAAGGCCAGCTTCTTACCATGGTGAGACCTGACAGGCTGGATACCCAATTCAACACTCAGAAAGAGGTAAGGAGGCCACCCAAGAACATGATGGTTAGTGCCTCGGAGAACAGAGACTAAGTTCTCTACCAACACTAGCACCAAGGGCAGAGATGTTTGTAAACAGATGTGGATTAGAGCACGATGGTATATATCTGGATTCCAAGGATGAGATTTTATCTGCAGGGCCCAATGTGATGGAATAGAGGTCAATGACTGAAAAGCAGAATTACATAACTTTGCAAATTGGGCAGCTGCCCTGGGGTAGGGCACCAGACCAAGATACTGCAAGCATCTACAAATAGCCATGTGGGGCAGAGGCTACAGGGCAGTGCAGACCCACGCCTTGCTGAGAGCACTTTTCAGTTCCTTCCTAGTTGTGAGGGTTCAAGACTGGGCAGAGCAGAAAGAACACCTGAGGAAACTTAAGAGATAATGGAAATGAAACAATCTACACAGTCAATTTAGAATATAGAAAAAGATCAAGATAAACCTACAGAAAACAAAAAGTTTTCTAGGAAATCATATAAATACAAAAACAGGCTCCAAAGTAGAAAATCTGATTATAACTGGTTCAGTAAAAGAAGAAAAAAAATAAAACTATAAACACTCTATCATCTGTGGATAAAAACAGAAAAACACTAAAGACAAAGAAACAGAAACTAGTAGCTTAAAAATAAACATACATGGTACAAAAGCTTACCATTTCTCGGTGTTTACTATTAGAAGATACATTAATGAAATTTACTCGTTAACAGTTCAATAGATTCCCAAAGACATATTTGATAACATTTAACAACCATTCCTGATATTCTTCCTTTTTTCTCTGTTCTATATTGTTTTTTTTTATTGTTGTGCTGGGGGTACATTGTGGCATTTACAAAAGTTCTTATAATATATAAAACATATCATAATTGAATTTACCCCTTCCATCACTCTCCTTTAAACAATTCTAATTTTAAAAGTACTAAAAATCTAACTAACCTAGAAACAGAAAGAAAATATCTTAACTTTAAAACCACATAACAAAAGCAAAGGCTTTCCCTCAAAGAGTATTTGGAAGTTGGGTCCCTTCCTCTTTGTCTCTCTCTTTCACTTCCCAGCCATGAGGTGAACAGTTCTGGTCTATCACTTATTCCCTCCATAATATGCTACCTCACCAAAGACCCAAAAGCAATGGGGTCTTTGATGAAATCTATGATGCAACCAACTATGAACTAAAACCTTTAAAAGAATCAGCCAAAATAAATCTTTTCTCCTTAGAAGTTGATTATATCTGATATTTGTTTAGAGATAGAAACCTGACTTAAAAAACAAAAGTAAAACATCAAAATTTGTGGGCTGCCACTAAAGTAGTACTTAGGTGAAAGTTTATAGCATTAAATGTCTCTATATTATAAAAAGGAAAGTTCTTGAATCAATGGCTTTTAAGAAACTAAAAAAGAACAAATTACAAGGTGGGAAAAAGTAGAAAGAATAAAAATCTATGTGCAAAATCAAATATAAAACAGAAGCACAACAAAGAAATACCAATGACACCAAAAGTTGGTTCTCTGAGATAAGTAAAATTAATGAGCTTCTAGCCACACTGATCAGGAAAAAAGGCACAAATTACCACTATAAGGAATCGGAGGGCATCACTATAGAGCACAGATACATAAAAGATAATAAAGGACTAGCCTGAAAACCTTTATGCCAACACGTTCAGCAACTTAGATAAAATGGACAAGTTCCTTGAAAGACACAAAATTGCAAAGCTCATTCAAGAAGAAATAGACAACCTTGTAACTATTAAAGACATTGAAATTGTAGTTAAACACCTTCTCAAAAAGAAAGCTCCAGGCCCTGATAGTTTCACAGATTTCTGTATCTATATAAAAGGCTTCAAAACATCAAGAGAAAGGAATACTTCCCAATTCATTCTATGAGATCAGAAGTCACCCAAGACCAAAGTCACATAGACGTTACAAAGCAACTAGGAGATACAATGGAAGAGAAGTAACAAAGATTAAATACTCACTAAAAATCTTAAAAAGTGTGTCAAACTATCAAGAAGAAAATCCTGAAACACTACTAAAAAACATAAAAATATTTTTGAACAAATTGAAAGGCAGGTCAGATGCTTGGGTGAGACAATTGGACACAAAATGTCAAATCACTTCATGTCAATGTACAAATTTGACATAATTCTAATAAAAATGCCAACAAACACAGGAAAACCTAGGAATCTTCTGAGTCAAAAGGCTTCCAGACTAATGGACATCTGAAGGGCACAGAGCAAGCTACAAGTAGATCTCACTTACAATTTTAGCTTCAGAAAGAATAATGTCTATAACTGAGTATTAAGTAAATAAAAATCCAGGAGTCCAAAGTGACACAAAACATGAAAAAGAGGAAGGACACTGCCTTTTCTTAATCTGAAAAATCAGTAGTTAAATGGGAATTAATCACTTATTCTACTTTTATAGTTTTCCCACTGATAAGAACATGCTTCACAAAAGCTTAGCTAATAAAATGATGACATAATTAGAAAAATCAAAATTTTCTAAACTCAAACAAGTTGATTTAGGCAAGGACCACTGATGGCTGTCAAGCTCTTGAGGTAGAAGACTTTTGAGGAACAGTAGGTTTGGAAAAGAAGCCTTCACAATGAAGAGATCTACTGGTCATTTTCTTAGCCAAATGATGAAATGCAGCATTACCAGTAGTGGGGAAACTTGACCATTACCTCTTACTATGATGCAAAATGAAGTATATATAATTTCCTCAATAAAACATTCTTACCAAAAATGACAAACTTGACCCTACATACATCTTTACACCAAACACCAAGTTTAGAGGATACAAAAGAATTATACCAAAAGGAAACAGATCAGAATAGGGGAATTCATTTTACATTCCTTCTTTGCTTTGACTGAGCTTAAGTTACCTCCTTTTCTTTGTCTACCCAAGCCTCTGTCTTAGTTTTGGCAGGTGTGGCAAACACTAATGCAGTAAATGCAGAAGAAAGACAGTTTTGCCTTAATTCTTATCCCGGACAGGTGCTACACTAGCCATGTGGGCACATTTACCAAATTCCTGAGAAAGGAAGGAAGATGGGAGGTGTGGGTAAGAAGGAAATATCAGAAAAAAAGATGAGTTAAGACCACCTCCAGACGGTAAAGAGTGAGAGTGGTGAAGGAGACAGAGCCAGAAGCTGGAGATTTGCTCTGGCTGAGCTATCTCACAAGTTCTAACATGAGAAAGGGTCAGAGAGCATAGCTATGTTGATGGATTATACAATAAACAGTTAGAAAGGCAATTCTTAACTCAGACAAAGAAATTGGTTCCCTGTTCTCTACAACCTTGTAACTTCAAAATGAAACAAGAGTTCAAATAACTTCACCTTTCTTTGTGAAGAGATTGCGAAATGTACTGCATAGGTAGAAAACTCCACCGCCATGCATGTCAATATGGAGTTGGTAGCCATGCAGTCCATACTCTGGGTTGTCATCTAAAAAGGGACTGTGAGGAGACAGCTCATAGGCACTGAAAAGCAAAACAAAACACACACACAAATTTCTTAACATTAGAGATGAAATACTTGGGTCGGAAATACTCAAAAAAATTAACATCCATTCAAAGCACTACCTCCCACCAATGAGACGCTATAGGAATCCCAATAATCTTCCATACCGTGAACTCAAAAGAACTGCTCCATGTTCCTCTCACCAACTTCTATAAAAACAGGCAGAGATATGAGTTCCATAGGCAGCCATAGGCCCACCACCGTGAACATGTTTCTGAGACCAACCCCAGGACAGCAGTTTTAGAAAGGCCAATCTGCCCTTAGTATTCTTCTCAGTAGCCAAGGATAAAGGTAGTTAGCAGAGGAATGCACCAAACAATAGACCTACAGGTTAGGGACCCAGACAAAGACTCAAACCAAAATGAACAAAGGTTTTTGTTTGGCTGGTTGGTTTTGTTTTTGTTTTTTCAGTAAAACAAACCTTACCACATAAGGTAACTCATTCAAAAAGTATCCAGGAGGTTTTCAGATAATATGAAAAAATGAGTAAGAGAAAAATCTAAAGTCAATAGGGAAAAGGTAATAGCTGCAAGAAAACGTAAAGCATTTTCCCCACCTAACAACATTTAAATACACTAAAAGGCACCCAAACAAAACACATCTTCAGACCAGATTCAGCCAGAGGGCCATAAGTCTGCATGCTTCGCAAAATATGAACATTCACTCAATGCAAGAACTTGAGGGAAAGTTGTGGCATCTTGTAATAATGAAGCATTCCTGCCTCTATATAAGTAATACCCTATTAGGTATAAATTCCTTAACCTAGAATAAATTAAGCAAATGAATAATGCAATTATTTTAGCAGCAGGTAATAATAACGCCTATTGGCTTGTGTCTACTGACTAAAAACAGAATATCTTTGTAGTTAGTCTCAGGATATTAAGATGATATCAGCTTCTAACCCTTTATAAATATAATTCACCCAAACATAGATACATACAGAGTGGTCGAGCCTAATGTGCTTCTCTCCACAAGGTGATGGAAATGAAGATTTGCCATGACAAAAGCCAGCTCTTCCTCCTTCTGAAAATTTAATTAAAAAGAATACATTTTGCAACTGAAATATTTTAACTTTTCACAAGCTCATTGTGAAGATCACAGCACACTCATCTTGCAGATACATGGGGATTCTTACAACTATAAGATCACCAGAAAATAATGCATTATTACTGCTAATATTGTTTTACTATCTAATAAGACTTACATGTCATACTGACAGCAAGACCATGGTTCACCCAAGTATACTGTCCCAAAACAATACCCCAGCACTTACAAAATATCATTCTTTTATACACAATGATTGCAAAAAAAAATTGGCAATTCTAGGCTGTTTCAAACACTTTTCAAAGATAAAGACAGTACTTGTTAGGACCCTTGCACATTGCTGGTATAATGCTCCTCTCCCTAGTAACGGCTTGATTTGGCAAATGCAGTGATTAGATTCATCTTTGTCACTTGCCCATCAGGCCAAACATCAGAAAAGTATAACTGCTCAGGAACAAACCCACTTCTCCCCAGATTCAGAGCTGATGCTGACTGATGTAGGTACCCATGAATGGTAAATCCCCGAATGTAAACCTCCAGTAGCTAGGCTGAGGACAACAGAGCCACCAAACAATCCTTGTGATGCTGCAGACCAAGATGTATCCATGAATTCAAGTCAAGAAATTCAAAGCAAATAAACTGCTACCTCGCCCACAAGTCACCTTCACACAGAAAAGGAGAGAAAGAAACACTGACTGCCATAATCAGCTGAGAAGAGGAAAAGGTTCAAGAGGATGATGCTTCATGAAGCTGAACACCTCACCTCAAATCTATCTAGTCACTGTATACAGAGGAGCACTGCTATCTCAAAATCAAGTCTGTGAAGTTCTCACTTAAAACATCCACCAGTCAGGGCCACAGACCTAAACAAAGCTGAGTGTGCAGGAAGAAGCCATACTATTCTGCTTTTCACTGAGTCACTGCTCAGAAAATAACCCCAGACGAGGAGCTGGCACTCAGCCTAACCTGCTGAAACAAGAAGTTAATGTAGAGGAAAGGATAACTCTCTGACACTTCTCTGTAAAAGGCAGATTATGTCCCATGCCACATCACAGAACCAGAAACATTGCTTGGAGACCACTGTGTTAAATGTGCACTAAGAGAAGCTTTGATAGAGAAAGGACATGAGAGAAACAGAAGACGAAACATGGCTGATTAGAAAGAGAGGTGACAAAGCCACCTGATATTAAAGAAATAATTAACAAAAACAGGCAGGAGAAGGTGGCTTGCCATCTTTGACAGCAGGATAGCTGAGTAACTCAAAAGAGCAGAGGGTCACATAGTCAGAAAGATGAGGTGAAGATGTAGTTACTAAAAAGTCTTCAAGGAGTTCACATCTGATCTCATATAGATAGAGACAAAATGTGGCTGTGATAGGAAAATGACACAGTACATTTACCCCATCTTACCTTCCACAGCCCCACCACGAGGCCAGGTTTTAGCCAGAAGATCCGAACAAGTCTGTCACAGCCAATCATTGTGGATTCAGTTAAATGACTCAGATCATACTTTGCAATTAAAGAATGCCATCGAGGTCTTTAAGCATCCATGCCAAAGAAAGGAGAGAGAGAAGTGGTTATTTTCTATCTGCAGGATTTTCAAATCTTAGTACTACATGTAAAAATGCTTCTGATGAGCAATTTATACACATTAATGTGCTCAATGAAGCAGCATAATTGCAGGGTGGGGACAAAAAAACCTTACATAAATAAAAGGCAAAGTGGATATATTAGAACTTCTTACTCTACTGTTTTTTTTTTTCCCTCCCTGTTGCTCTTATGACAACTCAATGGCCCAACCAGAAGGAAATTTTAGAATTAGGAAAGTGATGAAGTGGCAGAACCATCTTCTATTTTTCTCCTCAAAAACCAGCCCAATATTGTAACCAAAAGTCAACTCTTGGGCTTCCTGGATCTGGGAGCTCTACTCTTTGTTACTTTTCTATCTCAATAAAGTCTCTCACCTCACTTACAAAAAAAAAAAAAGTCACCTCTCAATATGTATTCTTAATCAGGTGAGTAGAATACACATAAGCAAAGGTAAAACACTTTAAGTGACATAAAAGCAGGTACTCTCAGTAACCTATGTGAAAGCAGACATGCCTTTCAAAATTACAATCAGGGAAAACTCAGAGACAATGAAAATTAAACATTAGAAAATGAAATTAAGCCAAAATCAAGAGTTTCATAAAGGAAATACCTGAATTCAGTCTTAGTGCCTATGAGGAAAATACTCAGATTTGTAAGAAAAAAAAAACTTTTTTCTGCTTCTCAATATAAGACTTAAAAACATTTAAAAGGTAACATGCTACAAGTACTACTCAAAGCAGACTCAGAGGTCTGTCAGTCCCAGGAACCTAGAAGTGGCTCAGGAAATTATAAAAGAAATGAGATCTCAGTGGTCAATTAATAGAGCACATTACACCAAAGTCCCTAAGACGCTGGAGCCAAGCATTCCAGAATCTGCCTCCAATACCTAACACACACACAGGCTAGCAGGAGATAAGTATGCAAATGTTAATTAAGTAAAAGAAATAAAATGGAGATCAGTGTGGTACTGTTTCAAAGCAGAAGGAGGGCTCTAAGGCACCAAAACCAAACCATAGCCCCACAGGACAGAATTCAGTCCTTCAAAAGAACTTTTTATGGTAAGAACCACAACTGGGTGGGAGAGGTGGTTGGTAAGCATGTGATATATAAACTAAAAAATGCTCAGCATATACAGAATATTTCTGGAGAAGATGGACACAGGATTAGTAAGCTAAGTGTGGTCTGAAGGAAACCCACGGTGAAACCTCAGCTCCAGCCGTCAGTAACTCTGTAACTATAACAGACTGGGTAGTATGCTATCCAGCCTGCTCAGTGGCAAGGCTGGAAAATTAACCAGAAAATACCATGAGGGCACAGTGCACATAACAAGTACTCAGTAAGTGTAGTCCCAGCCATTATCATTATTAAGCTGGATAAGGGAGGCTAAGTAAGAATCTGAAAACACCTCATATCTCCCTCTTCAATGTGTCCAAGCTGGAGAACACTGTTCAGTCTGGCTGTGAAGGCATGTGAGCAGACGAGGACATTCTGAGTTCCCTGCATTGGCCTTCCAGGTCAACAAGGCTCACATTTATACAACCTCTCTCACACACTTGGAAGGACAGCATAAACTGCAGAACCGAGAACACTGGCAAGGAAGGAAAAAACTTAAAGAGTCCAAGTAGAAAGGTGTAAGTTACAGAGAATTTTGATTTGCAAATTACATTAGTAGGGCTTTTGCTATTCCTCAAAAATTCTCCTAGAAGAACCAAAAAAGATCTAAATTAAAAGTCACAAACCAACCTTCACACAAATGCAGACAAGGATCTGTGCTCAGAAATGACAAAAGCATTGGTCAGAGACTTGCAAGTCCCATCAAAACAGATTCCTAAAAAAACACTTTTAGTTTTGTTTACCAGTTGATTAAAGGCTAGCTGAAGTCCATAAAGTTTTAATGGGAAGAAATTACATTGAATGAATTTTCCCAATCAATTCCAGCATTTGTCACTGTGTAGTAGCTAGCATTTCTGACCTTGATGTCAACTTTCAGTAACATACTATTTTTAAATGAGCTTTACACTTCAACATTATCAAGCTACTCTTTCAGGATCATTTTAATTAACATTAATGATTTTGTCTCAATACTTGTAATGTATTATGATATGCCAAGTAACATACCGTGCAGTCAAACTAGTATAGTTTGTGGGTTCCTCTAAACACACTTTCACAAAACTAGACTATATTAGAAAAATCGGGTTCCCATTGTAAAAGCACATAAAATTTCAGAGATTTATCCAAATAAATGTACCATTTTAAAAGGTAACTATTTCTTCAAAATATTTTAAGTAATATTAATGAGGGGTCCAAATATCTTCACGTTCACAGCATGGGAAGTGCTCAGTGATCACTAAACACCACAGAAAAGTGAGAAAGCCCCACCTCCAGGGAGTTGTACAAAAACACTGTCCTTCCATGGGCACAGATATAAGACAGACCCACAGGTGGAACTGCAGTCCATAAGAACAGTAAGAAAAGGGATGCAGAAAATGCTGCTGGAAAGTCAAAGGATGCTGAGGCAAGGAGGAGATGGGAAGGTGGGCAGGACACCAACCAAGGAGAAGTCAGATTTTAGCCTCGCATTTGTAGTACATTGGCATAAAGATATGCTAGCTTGCTCAGGAGATGAGGATGCTACACGAGCCATAGTCCAGTTTTTAAAAGAAAATGATCAATCAATGAGTGTGAGAGATTTGCTGGGAAAAGCATATAAGAGCCTTCTAGTTAGTGTGGTCTCAGTGAAAAACCACCTGACAACAGCATAACAGTAAGTGCTCTCTGAGGCACACAGATTTGAGCTGTGCATTTTACAATGATAAAATCTTTTGATTTTTTTTTTTCCTTGCAGCTATCCATGCTACATACTACACTGGAATCAGCATCATCCCATTTTACAGATGTGAAAATGCTGGCATGGAAAGTCACATATGTCATAAATTTGAGACACAGGCATGTGAGGTAAGTAAAAGTACTCTTGTGATCTCATATTTAAGCTACAATTAGTATACTGTTTCCTAAAGAAGAAAAATATGCTAGTTTTATATCTTTTCATTAAAATGGTTAAAAGTAAAAAGCTATTCAAAAATCATCTAGTGAGCTTTGTTAACTGCAAAATCATTTGCACTAAAATATGTAAGCAAGATATGAGGAATTTAAATTTAGACCTAACCATGAGCATGGCAAACCCACATTTTTCCTACTCAATAGTAACATAGAATGATAGAAAAGTCTTTAAGATATAATAAAATTAAAATAGACTGGTGGAGGGCTGGCAGAGTGGCTCAGGTGGTAGAGTGCCAGCCTTGCAAGCATGAGGTCCTAAGTTCAAACCCCAGTACCCTCCTCTACCACAAAATACAATGGTCGTGTTTCTGAATTACAAAACCAATGCCAACTAGTATTTATGTACAAGACAGTTCTGCTAAAGTAGTACTTACCCACTTTTGGGGGGCGGTTTGTACCGGTCCATAAAAACTGGTGTCACACCACACAGATCCAAGGTTGACAATGTGGCTAAATGTGGCCAATTTTTGCCATACCACACGACAGTAACAGATGTATCATTTAAAGAAAGATCAACATGCTGTATGATGTATTCTTTTCCACTTTTTTCTCTCAATATAATTGCCCAACCTAAGCCAGATATTCTGGAGAAAGAAAAGAAAGTAAAAAATGTTTTCCTCATAGCAGGAAAAAAATGCTAAAGGCAATTTCATACATCATTTCCACAGCATCTATCTCCTTAAAAGCTAATGTCAAAATTTTCAGAACATGCTAGACATAATTTTCATTTATTATGAAAAAAAGTCATTAGACTTTTTCTCCTCACCTAACACTCACTGAACACCTGTGATGTTCCAGGAACTGGCAAAACATAGATGACTAAGGAAAAGGTTCTGCCCCAGAAGAAAGGATACCTTGAACACCCTGGCTTTACTACAGCAGATTGCTAGGTTATTTCTGTTTGTAATAAAAACTTTAGGCCATAAATATGAAATAGGAAAATAATATATATTTCATAAAAACACAAAACTATCAGGTAATTCCCTACCATTTAAATTGCATATCCACTCTATATACATAACACCCTGAACTGACAGCATCATCCTTTTCTAAAGTGCTTATAAAGTGAAAGGGTCCTTGTTTTTTGCCTAGGAACCACTGCAGCCATGGTTCAAGAGTACACTGCACACCTAAGGGCCTCTTTGGTTTTCACGGGAAGACCTGTGTAGGGGCTGATGGGTTTGAGGATCTGAGCTAGGGCTGCTTTCACAGATGTGATTTGTTTTGTAATATATTCTTTCTTCCAGTATCCAGCTTCTTTATCCTCAACGGAGAGTAAGCTCACAGACACAGCTGTCTCCTCTACTGAATTAACTTTCCAATTCGATCTTTTAGGTGAAAATGCAGATGAGTAGATTCTGATCCAAATGAAACTGAGAAAAAAAGAGAAAATACATCAACTAAGATACATTTTCATATACTGGTAAGAGTAATATGTTAAATTAGAGATGCATAAAAATTTTAATAGTCCAATTCCATGAATATGTCAAGCTGAACATTTATAGTTGTTCATGTGTTAAGGTGAATTACAGTTCGAAATGAAGTGTTTTAGATCCGCCAACCCCCAAAACACAAGTACAAAAGGAAAACCTATATCCAAGGGTCAAGTTTAAATAAGCAATCTCATGTTATTTGGAATCATATGACCCACTGCCTTCCTACAACAATAATTGAGTAGTAGGTCTACCCTAGAAAAATAACAAGAGTTTACAAAACATGGTTCTTACTCTGTTTTTACATACATAGACAAACACAAAAAATATATAAATAGTGAATAAATTAATTATATATTCCTTTGCTTTCTATTTTTAAATTTTTAACAATGAATATAATTGCTTCCCAAAAGATAAACAGTGACATTATTAATAATAACTGACATCAACAGTTGAGTTTTTGAGCACATTCTATGTATCAAGTGTTACTTAAGAGCTTCAATACATTAACTCATTTAATCCTCCCAACAAACCTATGAGGCAGCTACTGTTATTAGCTCAACTGCACAGATGATGTAACTGAGGCCCAGGTGCAAAGTGATCTGGCCCAGGTCAGTGAACTGAAGTATATGATGGAAGTGAGGGATGAACTATGCAGCTTTAACGAGAGTTCTTACCCTTATCCCTTGCTTCACTGCCTCTTCAGTTGCATAAGAAAATGGGCTCAAACAAAGTGATTAAGTGATCCAAATTCAGAGAGCCAATAAGTCACAATGTTGGAATTCAAATCTCTTTGGAGACAAAGTTTGTGTTCCTTCCACTCACTGCAACCAACATCATGAGAAGCCCCATGCACTGCAGAAGTTAGTTAGCAGTGAGCTTAAGCTGGACCTGGGGGCTCCTCTCTTTCAGCCCATACTTTCCAGAAGAGAAAAGAATTAATATTTAGAGGAAACTGAGGCAAGTGTTAAAATTTATTTCCTAATCTGAAAAGTGAACTTTCCTAGATAAAATTTAATTATTTATGAATTTATGTTTCCACATTTCTATGCAGAGAAAGGTGGGATAAAATGGTCAACAGTCAAAGGCTGCTGGGAAAAAGTGATTTGCCCACAGATGGGGATGATGCTGAGTTCCAGGAAGTGCAACAGAGACCCCATGGGTAAAGGAAGAACTATGTCATTCCTCAGCAAGGACTGTGGAACACATCTCCTGGATGCAGACATTACTTGGACTTCCCAACATACACCAACTCACAAAATGTTGACATCTCCTTCTGTTATGATTTTCTCAAATCATTTCTTACCTCACAAAAATTATTTCACACCAAGCAGCTGTATTAAAGTACTTATATTTTCAGTTCAGAAATTTCTGGCCTTTCATATGTGAGCCAATAGATGTAAAGTGATAATTAGTTAAGCATATCTAGGTAAATCTGAAACTGTTTGCCAAAAATCTCTTGAACATGTTTTTAAACTCCCTCTGCGTAACAGCTGGCTTATGTTCTCTTCAAATTTATTTTACTCACCATTTCACTCTACACAAGTGCTCCTTTGCTTTCACAAGATCTTTACAGAACCTTGAAATTCTCACATCAGCACTATCAAACCACTACCAATGCTACTTGTACACACTCCATCCTTACAAACTGTATGAACACTGCTGTGGAGCAAAAGCACTATACATGTTCAGCAACAGTGACTACACCAACTGTGTATATGGTGAGCCATATACACGCACACTGGATTTAATCAACCATCAGAGGAGCCTAAATAAAAACAATTTATATTATGGAATCAGGATATATTAGATTATTCTTATTTATAAAATAAAAATGGTAAGTTTAAGATCTTTTTAACACTATCCTTAATTAAAGTGAGAACTCTCCAGACATTTGGACATTTGGTTGATTCTTCCCTTGAAAAACGTCTCACTGCATTTTCCTTTACTGAATGCCTTCATCTCTTTTTAGGCCATTAAGAAAAACACAAAACAAAAAAGAAAAATGTACATACAGGAGGCTGAGATCAAGAAGATCACAGTTCAAGGCCATTCGGGCAAAAAGTTCACAAGATCTGATCTCAACCAATAGCCAGATGCGGTGGCACACATCTGTCATCCTAGCTACCTGGGAAACAGAGATGGGGAGGATAGCTGTTCCAGGCTAACCAGGCAAAAAGTTTGTGAGATCCCTAACTCAACAGAAAAAGCTTGGAGTGGTGGTGCATGCCTGTCATTCCAGAACTTCTCCAAGCATAAATAAGAGGATCATGGTCCAGGCCTACCTGAGCAAAAAGTGAGAACCTATCCCAAAAAGGCAGAGAAAAAATGGCTGGAGGGGTGGTTCAAACAGTAGAACATGTGCTTAGCAAGCATGAAGCCCTGAGTTCAAAGCCTAGTACCTTTAAACACACACATACAAGTGTGCACACAGATACACACACACACACACACACACACACACACACACGCATCTTCTACACTGATTCCAGAATTACCTCCAGAAACAAAATTCATTATTTTACTCATTGATGTGAGCGTGCTGACACAGACAGACATTTTTCCATATAGAAAACGCCACTGAAGTTAAAAGATAAGATGAGCCACCTTTCCTGATCATGTCCCCTTCTCAGTATGAGAACAGTTGAGGACAGCCTTAATGTGATCTTAGGGCTCATTGTGAGTTTCTCACTTAAGTGGTAAACACATGCCATCAAAGATGCACTGCATAAGTCCCTTCAGAACTTGACTATTCATTCATATGACCTGAAGACATTTTTAAACTACAGATTCTAAAGCACTGAATTATAATCTTCAGAAATGCAAACTATGAATCCATATTTTTAAACTTCTCCAGCTGGTTGTGATAGTCTTTATGGATTAGCATTTGAGAACCACCATACCAGGTTACATTTCTTGTCTACCATGTTCCAAGATTAAGTAGTATTGCAGCCTTCCTTCATTCATTCTCCATTTCTTTATTTAGTAAAGAAAACCACCATTACAACCTGCATTCCTTTCTAGTGATGTATAGGTTCTATGTTGGACCAATACCTGTATGATTTTTTTTATTTTGAATGAGAGAGGAGTCTAAGAATCCAAGATCAGTTGTGGGCACAAAATGCCCACTAGACATTAGGAGAATTCTACCATCTCTCTAATATGATAAAATTCTGAGGCAATGTTCACAGTGACAAAACTGAAGTAAGAGCTTTTTTTCTTCATTCACAGATATCCTGGGAGCCCAGGCAAAGATGGTTTCCTGTTTCTATGGGTAAGGCTAACAGCCTCTACAACACTCTGGGCCTCTCTCCTCCCCTCCTGCACTCTACCTGCAGAGTAAGTTTACTGGATTGGCAGGTTTGGGTAGAGGAGTTAAGTCTATTTAATGTAGCTCATTCTCCTTTCTCTTAGATCTGCTTGACTACAGTCAAGCATCTTGTCTGTGAACATAGGGCCAGAAATAATGGAGGAGGTTTTGTAGTGCTGCTAAAGACAGTATGGATGATTCTATCTATCTCTGGGGAGAACCCAGCCAGCACCCCTTGCTTACAGACCAAAGTTGTACTCTACAGCTGCAGCAGTAACAAGCTTGATCATTCTCAGTACATGCAAAGAATATTCCTTTAAGTACACAAATGCAAGTGCTTGAAATGTCAAATGTTACATGTAGCATTTGACATATTATGCCTATTTATGCCTAAAAATAGTATTAAAATTAATTCCCTTAAATTTTAAAGAATGGTTAAAAAGCTTTAAAAACCTATTACTAGTTTTCATGATTTCCATCAAACTGTTATCAAAACACAGAGATGTGTTTTTTCTCCTTACTTGTCATTGGCCAAATGATAAAAGCGCCTGCTCACACATCCAGTACACAGCAGGCTCACAGCATCCAAGTAGGAAAATATCTTCAGCAAGATTTCTGAAGGCATTCTAAGAGAAGAAAAACATCAGACAAGTAGATAAGTGCTTAATCTAGAATTACCCATAAAACAACTAGCTGTTCTTCTTAGAATAAAAGGAGACCACAAATGGACTACTCCTATACAAGAGGTAAACTGTATCCTCATCTTCAGTTATTTTCTAGATTGCAATTTTCTGATTATTACAATTCTCATGACATAGACCAATAAAGAGACCCCAGGGCACAAAGAGTTAACTTTCTCAGTATTTTAATTTTGTTCACATACTAGGAATCAACAGGCAGGACCGCACTGCCTCTCTCATGAATGTGTATACCATTCTCTGGTGAGGTGAAAGGAAGAAAGGTACAAAGAACACACTCTAACTGTTAAGAAAAACACAGAATCCCTCCCCCTCAAAAAATGTGAAATTGAATGGGAAATGTCAACTTGCTTCCTATCTAACCTGTGCCCTCAGGGAGACCCCCACCTAGGTAAATGCCCCCACCACTGGACACTGCTTCCTTCCAGGTTCACGAAGACACCAAACCCTAGTGTTTTCTTAAGAGCTTCATTTTTATGCCTAAATTAATTATGCCGTGATGTAGTCTCAGTATTCCATCAACTTCCAAAATTGTATAATTCTACTATTACAAGAACTTCAAAGTTCCTAGAAGCACCCTGGAATACCTTTATGAATATTTGGTAAAAGGGAAAATGAACAAGGGCAAATGATACAGAAGACTATAGCAAGGGGTTGAGTGCAGAGGGAGCTAGGAATAAAGGACTGGGAAATATTGTTTGGCCAACTTAAAATGGCTGGCTCATACTCTCTACTTGTAATTTGAGTGGTTAAAATAATTTTTATTTTTGAGATCATTATGCAATCAAACATTTGATAGGGAACAATCAGTCCCAAAACTCTGATAAAAATTAGAACAGAGTAGATCCTCAGAGCAAAGATGGTAACTGCCATGCATATTTGAGACATGTCCCTGTGAGGAGTACCACTGCACAAAGCTCTAGATAAGTGGCTTAAGATTTTGATTCTAAACAAGCAGCCCTACTTGTGATAAATGCCTCCCCCAGAGAAATTCTTTACATTCAGTCAATAAATTGACACTTTCAATGAGAAAAGGGTCTCTAAAGTTAGAGACAGCAAAAGTGTAAGAAAACATGTTTTTATGACCATTTGGATTATCTTCTGCATACATTTTTATATTTTGTTTTTAACCATTTCATAAAATCTCACACTTATTATTTTTAAATTATTACAATTTAACAAAAGTTAGAGTTGAGCTTAAAGACAACATTTCAGAAGATATATAGTAACTATAACAATTACTTAACTAGAAATAAAATTCCATTGAAGTCAGGCATTAGACAGGTTTTTACCTTCGTACCCACCAGACTAACATCATGAAAGGGAGCCCTTGATATGTACTATGTATGCCACAAGGAGAAAACCCCTATAGTTAAAATAACTAAGATTAAAGCACTCTTAGTTAATATTTATATGGTTGCCTCCAAGATGGAACAATCCATGTTTACGCCCATATTGGGTTACTTTTTGCTGGATTCTCATTATTTCACTTCCACATTTTCACATAATTATTGGTGTGGGGATATGAGATGATGGCGAGAGGAAGGTAATGAGTAAAGAGGAAAGGTAGGACAGAGAAGTTCAAAGTGTGGAAGCAATGACCTGTAGGCCAATAGGCTTCTCTAAGAAATCTTGAGCTAATTTGTACATGTTCATTTTCAGTACTATGGGACTGAAATATGAATGTGTCCTTGTCGCTATTTCATATTGTGGATCCACTCCAATAATCTTGCATCCATAATCCCTGCCACCGTCCTGTTACTGTAGAGAGCACTCACTTCCTCTTATCAAAGCACCTGTGATCTGGGTCCCACCCATATCATTCCATTCCAGCCTCACTCTTCTGCATCATTGACACCACTCTGAAACATTACCCAAAATATCTCACCCTTATCTTAAGCCCTCAACCCAAGCCTCCCTCTTTATCATCGAGATTCTCTTCTGCCCTCACCCCAACTCTTTCCCATCACAGTCAGCAGCACCTCCACTCACACATCTACTCAAGTCAAAAATTTGGGGTTTATATTTTATGCCTATTTTCCCCTAACAGCAACATCTACCTCATAAATGAATGATGTCAGTTATGCCTCCAAATATATCCCAAATTTTCTTGCCTCTGCATCTCCTATCCTTCTAGAGGAATAAAACAAGTAAATAAGTAAATGCAATAATTTTCTAAATCAAATGAATCCCACCATACAATAAATAAAGCCCAGTCCCAGCCCATCGGTGCCTGCTCCTCCTTCTCCCATTACACTGGCTGCCCAGCCGCATCTACTGGAGCACTGAGCACTGCCCACCTCTGTTGCTCTGGGTACTAAAAGAGCTCTAGTACACTCTTCTCTCGGCTCTCTATCTCAATTTTCAGTGGTCATCTTCAATGTCAACTCATTCTTTACCATCCTATCCCATTATTCTGCACTGTGAAATCCACTGTTCTCTTTACAGCATGCATTCCCACTGATGATGATTTATTTCTTTAAAAAAATGTGTCTCCCCTACTAGGCCATCAGCTTCATGAAAATACATGAAAGGGCTATTTGTCTCTTGGCACCAAGCACAGTATCTGATACAGATTAGGGCCTCAAATATTTAATGGATAGATTAACCAAATAAGCAAATATTTGCTTTATTTCTTCTATCAGATTATTATATGACAGATTCTATTCCTAGACTAAAGGGCTTTAAACTTAAATTGATGACCTTAATTAAATATCTTTTATTGACTTGTCTTTGTAAAATCAACTAAAGCATGTACATTAAAATGTGCATATAAAAATATGGGTACTGTTAGCTGAGATAGTTATGATAAACTATTAAATACCCAGAATTTAAAAGCAGGCAACTTCCATCTGAATCACAGTTTTGTAACATGTAGACTATGTGTACCTTTCTTCCTCCAGTGTAAAATGTCTCTCCATAAATAATACCAAGTTTTCAAGGTTCTACACAATGTTTAGCATACAGATTGTGTTCCATAGAAGTTTCTATAGTACAAACGTATAGACAATTTAGGATTAACTGTGAAAAGCTTGTTTTTAAAAATAAAAAAAGATTCTATGGAACTTGGTGCTGAGGGTTAGAGTATAGAATCTTGCAATGGCAAAATGGGTCCCAAACTACTGAAAGCTAAGAAATTCACAGAGCCCTTCCACCTTTAGGAGAATATACTCTGATCTTCTTTCTGCTGTTTCAATTGTCTTTATAAATTGAGAAGTGAATAATTTTAAAGAACATTTTAATAAAAGGAAAATTCAATTCACTTGTCACTTTTAAAAGTTTAGTTTCATAAAACTCCTTTAATAAGGATAATGGTGACAGGATCATGACTCATATCAAATTCTCCGAGTTGTACATTCTTCCCACACAATGTTATTCTTAGAGAACTCAAAATAGCAACTCAGTATATACAGCACTGTAACTTTCTCTAGAACCCCATGCCTAGAGCCCCCTCTTCCAAAAGGAGTAGTAGGCTACTTCTGCTACTTACCTATCCAGGGACACGGAACAGTTAGAAGAGGACCTTTCACAGTGCCGGCCACGTCTGGCAGTACACCCTGCAGCAAATTTGACACCTGACCCCTTTCTGAAAGTAAAAGTGGGAAATTCAAATTATATAATTTCCGAATGAGATGAATTATCTGTTCCCCTCTACAGAATTCTAAAGGATTCATAAACACCAAAGATTACTCACTGTGAAACTTCATCTCTGAGAAGAAAGCAAGAGAAGGAGGGAAAGGAAGAAAGGAAGAGGGAAGGGACTATGAAACATGTGAGTCGTGGGTAAGTAAACCTGGAGTTTGAACTTACTCTGATGTGTTTTCAAGCTAAGGGCTTGGGGGGTTTTGTTGTTGTTATTTGTTTTTATGGTACTGGGGGTTGAACTCAGGTTCTCACACTTGTTAGGAAGCACTCTACCACTTGAGCCACTTCACCAGCACTTGTTGCATTAGTTATTTTTGAGATAGGGTCTCGCTTTCTGCCTGCACTGGCCTGGACTTCAAGCCTCCTATATGTACTTCCCTGAGTTGCTGGGAATGACAGAAGCACACTACGCCCCCAACCTTTGGATGAGCGGGGTCTCATGAACTTTTTGCTAGGGCTGGCCTCAAATTGCAATTCCCCTGATCTCCACCTCCCAAATAGCTAGGATAACAGACTTGGCCACTGCACCCAGCTCAACCTAAAGTTTAATACTTGCTCTCATTATTAGCTGTCAGAACGTCAAACATGTGCTACAAATGTATTCAATGGAAACAAAAAGAGAAAGGATAAAAATGCATTGCCCAGCCAGTTTTGATAATACAGCAGAAACCTAATAAAAAAGAGTACTGATATGTTTTAAAGAGCTTCAGATTTGTAAACTATAGCTGTCAACACAAAACTACAACTTTGCTGATCTTTGAAACATAAGGACTGAATCCATAACTTTGGCAGTCTTAGCCACAGAAGTCCCAATATCCATCAGGCTTTAAATATTGTAGCATCACACATTCAATAAAATATATTTTAATTGGACATTGTTTTATTTTAGTGATTCCTAAAGTAATAGTGCATCTTATAACTAATAGTTTTTTAGGTTTTATGAAATAGTATATTTTATGAAATAGGTATAATATTTTATACAGTTGGTCCTTTTCAGAATTCCTAAGATAAATTTTTATGAAGATCAATCTTCAAAACCAGTGATGCTCAATAGCAGCTAGGAGGGAATCTGAAATAGCAGAAAGCCATAGCCTAAAGCCCCCATTTCTAGGCAGCAGGTCTGAGACAGCTCCTAATGGAAATGCTACTTCTCTTGAAAAGCTTTGGAAGCTGTTTACTTAAGCAATATACAACATACACCTATCAGTAACTGACCCACCTCCCACCCAGCATGCTATTTAAGAAGTAACTAAAATCTAGAGTACACATTACTCACATGTCAGACCACAAACACCACTGCTTTGATCATGTACTTGGTTCATCAAGAGTTTAACTACCTTGTTTTTGTACAATGCTGATTCCCCAGATGTACCTGGATTTCATCAGGAAAAACAAGGTGTCCCAAGAACTTCCAAGGAAGTCTTAAGTATGAAATCCACACAGAATGCACCTAATCAAGGATAACTCTCAATCCAAGCACACTCTGCTTGGAGGCACAAACTACAAGTGGTCCTCATCCAAGGCCTCAGCTGACTAGGAAGCAGTGTAGCCTGAGGCCTACACCACAATATATATATATGCCAGTAAGCACCCAAACCACCCAACACCACCCATCTGCCATGCTCAGCAAGCACCCATGTGCTTCTGAGAAGTCACAGAATGAGCTGCTTTTCCTCAATAAATGTTCCTCTTTAGAAAAAAGCAGAATGTCTACACATGGGAAGCCCTTCAGAAATACTAGCTATCATCTGCACCTAGAATCTCAACATGAGAGGGGCTGAATAAGATAAACTTCCCTAGATCCTGGAGGCTAGCCAATGCACCACGGTAAAAATGCTGGCTACCTATACCTCTCCACTCTAGCTTCACCTTGTCATGCATTCTGCCTCATCTGACTTTGCAGTCAATGTCTTCTAGGTAAGCCAGTCATCCTAAATCTGTGCTCAGCACAGCAGGAAAGAGCAATTCTTAGATCTGAAAGTCTAGGAATGCCCCCTACCTCTTTAATCAGAGAATTCTGTTATATTTTTGTACTTCTGTTGAATATTCTGTTTAAACAAAGATTTCTACAGCAGAAAATCTTCAACTCCATTGACCTGCCCACACACAATAATCAGAAGTAAAATACAATTTCCTAATTGTATTAACCTCCCAGGGCTGTCTTAACAAAAAGCTGAAAACTGAATAACTTAGAACAATATAAATTTATTATCTCATGTTCCAGAAGTCAGAAGTCCAAACTTAAAGGTGTGGGTAGGGCCAAGCAGGGCATTCTTCCCTGAAAGTTGCTGGCAATCTGTGGTGCCCTTAGCTGGAGGCACTGGAACACCAATCTCTGCCTCCAGTTCACAAAGCTATATTCCCTTTGTGACATGTTTGTGTCTCTTCTTATAAGGACACAGTTCCTTATAAGATTTGGACCAACCCTAATCCAGTATGGTCTCATCTTAACTAATCACATCTACAAAGACAGTGGGTCCAAATAAAGTCACATACTGAGGTTCTGGGTGAGCAGGAATTTGCAGTGGGGGAGGAGTAAGGACACTAATCAACACAGTAAACAATTTTTATAAAAAAAATACATTCTAAAATTTTTTAAAGCATTACTTCTTTGTAACTGGTTCTTATAAAATCTATACTGACCTACATTACATATTCAAAGATAAAATATGTTCACTTGGCAAATTTCCTAACATCCAAGCATCAAGGAATTTTTATGACTCCTCCATGTCTATTAGTAGATCCCAACATGTAAACTTTAGACACATGGCTGTGTGAAGGGCTGTACTGAGAAGTCTGAGAATCTACACATTCACAAAGCACTGGGTGAAGACTGTGTAAGGTCTCTTAACTAATATATACTATTGCTTTTAATATAAATGAATACTGTTAAGGTTCATCAAATAAAAATTTACTTTAAAAAGCATTACTAGAACTGGGGCATGTAGCTCAAGTGGTAGAATGCTTGCCTCACAAGTGTGACGCCCTGGATTCAATCTCCAATACCACAAAGAAAAGTTAAAATTAAAAGCAATACTAAATTGGTCTCAGCTTTTTGTCATTATGTATTTACTCAATCAAAAGATGAAAGAAAAACTATAAACTATTACCTTAGGCCTATCTAAGAAAATAAAAAATCAATATGGTGTGCTAATTTTAATCTACCAAATAGACAAAACCAAATAAATGATACTTATACTTTCTGTGTTACAGAGAAGCCCACACTCTCATTCATTGCTGATAGAATAAGATAAAGCAATATTCGCCTTATAGAAAGCCTATGCTGGTAGCATTAACCACCTTCTTTAAGACAGGAATTCTATTTTTAGAAATATGTCATAAGTCAAGAAAATGTGCCCAAATAGTTTACTCAAGAGTATCCATCTCAAAAGTGTCTGCCCCAGGAAAAAGCACTAGGAGCAGCATAGGGACTGGTTAAATTTATTGGCCTCCATAAAGTAACAATGTTCAGTCAATGGAAATAGAGTTTCTCCTCAGGCTGAAAGAAAAGACAAAGTATTAGTAATTAATATATCTGATTCATAGGATTATAAGCTAGGCAGTAGTGGTTGTTTTTAAATGGGGATTGGAGGACTGAAAGGACATACCTTCATGTATTTTCTAATTTTTCTTAACTTAAAAACCAAGACTCCATGCATGAGAAGGCTAGGAATCACAGTTGGACAGCACAATCCTTTAAAGTGGATTCCTAGCAATAGTCATCCCTGAAGTTGAAACCAGGTCCCTCAAAAACCAGACACAGCCTGCAGCAACCTAAAAACTTCTTAGAAGTCTCTCATTTGACCTTAAAAATTAATGCAAGTATCACATTCTACTGGTTAATCTTTGTCTTACAAATTGTTTAAGTTATTTACTATTTTCTTCTCAAAGCTTCTGTGTTAATTTTACACATCAAAGAGAGGCCCTATATATCCTCTGTCCACTGCACAGACATGACAGGGTGCTCATCTGTTTCAAGGAACAAAGACTGACTCAATCGAGCAAGATCTTACTGAGGTTATCATGCTCATCCTGCTGCAAAAATTTCATGAACAAAGTTACCATTTTTATAACTGTGTGTAAACTATACACAGAGACAAAATAATAGTGGCAGTTTCCTCCAAATCTGTAACTCTCCAACAGATAATTTCAAATAATGATTGAGCAGGTAAGCACTGTTTGGTACTAGTTATTTAAAAAAAGAAAAAGGTACCAAAGGTTTTTTCCTAATCTGAATCTCTAATTCAATAGCAAATGGATTAAAACAAATTAAGAAATACAGCAGAATGTATATCAAGTTGGCTTAATTTATACTTAGTCTAATTGATTTACTAGATATTAAAAATAAGGCACAGAAATAAGAATTTCAAAATATTAACTATTAAAACTATCAGGCAAAATCAGTCACTTGAAAAATGTTTTCAAACTAAATATTATCTAAGTATCAGACACAGGTCTGCATGAAAACACACCTGCACCTTACTAATTTGTTAATTCTGTGGCCCAAAGCAATGTGAATTTGGTTCACATTGATTAAAACATTTAACAAGGTTTATTTGCCCAGTTCACTTCTATAAATGTTTTTCTTTTAACAAATATTTCTTAATGGCATACTTTGTACAAGGTAATGGGTTAAGGGCTTTAAAACGTACTGCATCTTCTTTAATGGGAAAACAAAGGCTACTTTATTACAAATATGCTTAAACACTTTAAAAATGGTAAAGTCTTTCCACAAGTAAAACAGTGGAAACAGTCCTCATGAATCCCTAATTTCACAGATTAGAAGACTGAGGCTCTACCTAGCCCGTTAAAGAGACTTTAATGTCCCAAGTTAGAGGCAGAGCGCCCCCAGGACACTCACCTCCTGACCATCCTTTCAGCTCTTTTTACCACATTTTAGGTAACATTTATATCATACCAATTTAACTTTTAGCACCATTGGAAACACAGCTCCATTTCCTCCCTAATAACCAAGTTCAGATTGTTATGGACCACATGGCTAACAAACTGGCAACCTGCAGGCAGATCTTCATGCGGATCTAGCTCTGATATACTGACTTAAGTAACAGTTTGAAAACTTTTCCAAGTGGCAGAATTTTGCCTGATAACTTTGAATAAATTCAGTATTTTAAAATTCTTATTTCTATGCCTGGTTTTTAGTATCTAGTAAATAAAATCAATTAGACTAAGTATAAATTAAAGTCAACTTTATATGCATTCTGCTGTATTTCTTAGTTTGTGATGTTTACACAATCATATTTTATGCTAAAAATGGAACCTCTGATACCTTATGAACATCTAATTCTCCACAATGAGACATTAAAAATAACCAATTTCTTCAATACCGTCAATCATTCTATTCTTAGCAGCTGACTATTCTTTACCAAGAGAATCTATACATGTCAAAATCACAGTTTGGAATGCAGGTTCCCACACCAGACTTGACAGACACTCTAATTACAACATTCCACTAGGATGTTCTCTCAACTTACAGAGCCAAGATTTATAATATAAAAATCATTCCGCTTCCCCCAACAAAGCACCGAAGACTAATTTTAGTAATAAAGGCAAATTGATTTAAAGTTCAAGTTTCCAAATTAAAAACCAGTCTTTCTCTTGTAACAGAATTTTTGCAAGCACTGTCACCATTTTATTTGTCACAAGGCTTGTGGTTTGCTAAGCTACTTAATCAACAACTATTATATGGGCACTAAGGAACAGAACTAGACCTAGGATGTCAAAGACCTGGAGATTTGGTGGCGGGGAACTTAAGCAGTTAAAGAAAGAAGTAATAGAATCCTTTTTTATACTTATGCAAAGACATTTGGCTTATTAAAAAGCAAAATACTCACGACTTTTTTTACATTTATGGGTCAAGGAGTATTAGAAGCAAACACATAATCCTCAAGAACGTTAATTCTTAGAGTTGTCCCTCCACCAGTTAAACTAACTGGGCTGTTGGGTACAGGGCCAGAAGCACCACACAATAAAATGAGATTTAATAAGGAACTATTATAACATGTCGACACTTTTGACATACTGAATCATCTTGCTTTTTTGGGTTAAACTGAAGATTATTCTGGAAGCCTCCTTTCCCATCTCACTCAAGTTTTTATACATCTCACTGTATAAAAGGACCACCCTTCAGATGCAGGGACTCTAGAGAGAAATGAGCCACTACACAGAGCAACAATACTTAGGAAGACAGAAACACAGTACAGGGCTGGACATCCAGGCATGGCTGTCTAGAAAGCGATTTGGCCTTCGCTGCCCAGGAGGACACAGCCATGGAGAGCCAGGCCAACCTGCCCGCCAGAGAGGCCGCCCTGGGGGAGTTCTCCGAGAGGAGTCCTGGGCAGAGGAAAAAACCTTCAGGTTTTGATGGGTAGATTCTACTTCTCTTAAGTTACAAGTTCATTAAAAAAATTAAATAAAAATTTAATTTGTCTTAAAAAAGACGAACAGGGATTCCTGATTCTGGCGTCCAGAAAACCCAGGAGCCAGTCACGAGCCCCGGGCCCAGGGGTCACTGCTTGTCCAGGCACGCGCGGCGCGCGCCCGCGGGTGCAGGGCTCCGGGCTGTCGCTTGGTGGACGGCGCGCCCAAGAACGTGTCCTAGGGAAGTGACTACTGTGTCACGGGCCGAAGGGGACACCCCACGGTTCCAGAAATAAAGGTCGTCCTTCTATTCCTCCGAGTTTAAAAACAAACCAAAAAAAAAAAACACCCGCGAGTCCCGAGCCAGAGCGGGACCGATGAAAAATACTACTACTCATGTAAGAGCGACGAGGAGCGGCAAGGAGGAGCTGCCCTGCCGGGCGACCCGCCGCGAGCCCCGGCCGTCACCTGAACCCGGAGGCCCCGGAGCGCCCCGCGGCTGCCCCTGCGCTGCCTCGGGCCGCGCCGCCGCCATGGAGGGGCCCGCGCAGAGCCTGAAGGCCCAGCCAGCGCTGCCGCAGCATCCGACCGCGTCCAGTCGCCATGGAGACCCGGCGGTACCACCAGGCGCAGCCACAGCTCAAACGAGGAGTAACAGGCCTCGCCCTCGCGCGGAAGCGCGACCGCCCTCGCGCATGCGCAGACTGGACCCCTTCAAAGACGCCACCGCCGTTCCTCTGGCTCCCCGCTCGGCGCTCCTGGTACTTCCGGAGCCGCCTTCTTTCCCACGCCCCCGCCGTTCTAACGCCAAGGACGATAGACGCTAAATCAGCTGTTGGGAGTTTGCGACAACCTCGCCTGTTTTGGGCGCCCCATTCGTCTCGCTTGTGAAACGTAAAATCTTAAGTCATTTGCCTATAAGTACGACAGAGCCACGAAGAGACGAAGGCATTTCCAGTTGACGCTCAGTTTACAACTGCTCGCCAGATTATTTGCAAATTCTGGTAGAACCACACAAGAACTGAAGCAAAAAATCCACTACAAGTAGTCCCGCCCTCTGCCGCCGGAAGGACACGCGGCGCATGCGCCAGAATCCGCGAAGAGGCATCTGGGAGACATTGAGGGGCCCGGCGCGCTCTGGCTGCATGGCATTGTGGGACTTGAAGTCTTTCCTGCCTTCATCTTTGCGGGCACGCGTTAGAGGTGAGAGCCTCAAACTGCGTTTCCCAGGATAGCGAGGTGTCTCCCAGGCTGCTTTGCGAAGGCATGGCGGGCGAGGTCTGCATGTCAGCTCGTTACAAAGTAAATAGGGCATGTAAATTCAAGTAAAAGGAAGGCTGGAGGAAGGTGGACGTAACTTTTTTCCGAGACTTTTCGTCTTGATACTCACCTAACACGCCGTGAAATGTGAATCTGGGGATTTCTGGCAAGGCGTGTGGATTGCGACCTTTGCTAATTGTAGCTAGCGTCGTCCCTAAGCGGGATAGTTTTCTATAAACATGATTTGTACGTTTCTACGAGCTGTACGGTATACGGAGAAGCTGCGCGGCTCCTCAGGGAAGCGATTGTTATTGCCACACTTTGTGCTCAACAAAGCAAGCTTGAGGACTGAGCCCAGCTTGAGATGGAGGCTGCCAGAGCCGGAGAAAACCCTGCGACTTAGGTCTGTCCTTGGTGTCGCCCAGAAAAACATCTGGACGCAGGGACCGAACCCCCTGAAAGCGAAGGAGGACAGCAGCAAGCAAGTGTCTGTGCTCGGAAGTCAGAGAGGGGAAGCCGCCGTTTCAACGTCTCAGAAAGGTAAAAAGTAATGCTTCTGTAGTGACCAGCCTCCAGCGCTGCCAATCCCCTTTTATGCCAACTTCACAGCTAAAGATAGAAAAACAACTCACACAAAATAAAACGTAAAGCCGTTATACAGTTTAGGACCAGAGAATATAGACCTACGTTTTCACTAACTTGAACTCAGATTTAAAAGCGAATCTTGAGTTGTTGCATTGTGTCTAGGAAATTTTTCTAAATTTTTCTGAAGCACATAATAATGAGTTATTGGATAGGATAAGCGGAAAAGGGAACAATTACTAAATCATAATTAATAGGGAGAGTGTTATGTAGTTCAACTCAATAAGCACTTCTACTGAATAACTGCTGTTATTCCCGGATACTGCCTTAGACTCTGTAGAGGACATCCAAAACATCCCTTGCCCGCAGACATGGTTAGGTGCAGTCATAGAAAAAACATATCTAAAAAAGAGGACGAAGTGTAATTTTATCAGGGAAAGTCAGAGACGTTTTCACAGGTATTTTATGTTTTTGTTGTTCATTCATTTTACAAGTAAATTGTAGAAAAAAGTAAAAGGCCAAGAAAACACTTCGGACATCCTTGACTGTGCCACACAAAGAGGACTGTTGTTGGTTGTTATTTTAGTTTATGTTGTTTCCATGCATATACCTTTTAATTTTTGACAAAAGAACTGGGATCAGATGTCCTGGGATGCCTGAGACATTGTACCCTTGTAAATTGTGCAGATGCTCTTGATGAACCCCTGAATCTCACAAGTGAAGCACATGTCTTACCAAACCTTCAGACACACTTGCCACTCGCTATATATTGGCTGTAACGTGATGGCTTCAATATAGTAAGCAAATGTGGTGTTCTACTGAATGTCCAGAGCAGTACTGTCCAAATCAAACTTTCTGCAATGATGGAAATGTTCTATATCTGTGTTGTCCAGTATGGTAGCCACTGGCCATGTGTGGCTTTTGAACACTTGAAACGTACCTGACATAAAGAAGGAACTGAATTTATTTATTTAAAATTGAATTGAAATAGCATAAGTGATTATTAACTATTGTAATTGACAGCTCAGGTCGAGAAAATTCTGATCCTGTAAGACTATATTACTACATAGAATGGAAGAATTAGCAAATACTAAGCAAGACCATAAATACACACTGCTGTCTCTCTCATGTTACTACAAAATACCGCTGCTGTTTCTTCCTGATCGAGATGGAAAAGATGCATGGCCTGTGTCACGCAGCTATGTTAATGTGCTCCCTTGAAGTTCTCATTTCTGTGATCACATTGGTATTGGGGCTACTACTTGGTAGGGTTTGCAGTGATCCACTGTCTACCTCTAGCCTCTATCTGGTTTTTGAAGGGGAAAACTATTGAATCATATGTGACCACCAACCCCTGCATCTTTAGGTCTTTAAGAAAGCACTATTTGTCATTCCCCCTTAGATGTGATAATGCTTTTGATTTACTATAGTGGTCGATGGGGGCGGCCTCAGGCTTCCATGCCACTTTTCCCACTGTGGTAGTTCTTAACCCACCTCAAAGGAACTAAAGTAAGTATTGTGGTTGTTGTTTCCAAGTACTGAGTATATCCATTCCAGTTGTACATTTGGAAATCAAGGAATTGATTCTCAGAGAAATTTCTGGATCCAGATGTGAACAAGAGTGTCTTTATTACACAACCTCAAGTGTACAGGGATTTGACTCTTTGGATGACTCTGGATTCTTTGATACCATTGTCGGTGCAAATCATGCCAGGTTGATGCCGAAAAACCCTTTGGCAAAGGACCTGGGGAATCATATACACTTGCTTTATTTCCTTCAGTAAATGGGTTCTAGACCTGAAAATTTGTTCAAGATCAGAAAGTGGGACAAAGATCATGACTTGCATTACAGAAGCAATTTTTTTTTCATCCATAGTTAAATTCTTGTGATTATATATTTGAGCAGTATCCTTGTCGCCTGCCCATCACTCATGCCCTTTGGGAACACCACATTCTACTAATAAGCACTATTTCTCAATTCAGGACACCTCTAGCTGCCACTCCAGACTTGCTGTTTATTATGATAGTTGCACCCACCTGGGTTCTAATAATTAAATACCATAACCTGGTCTTCATTTCAGGATTCTTTTATCCCCATGCTGTGAGGGAGTCCTGCTTTGTCAGGATGTAACTGGGGCTTCCTTATGGCTTTCATAAACAGTGTCCTCAAGTGTTCCCACCAAAAATGGTCAACTGGGGGGTTTGGTGCTTTCTGTCTTATATCCACTCTAGCATGCCCATTCTCAGCCTGCTGAACCTTTCCTCCACTGTTTGTCATACTCTTCTGTCATTTTTATTTAATGAGGACCATCTGTCTCCAAGCTTCCAAGAGCAGATGTAGCTATGTGTCAGTTCCCAGGTGCTTGCCTGGTTGTTAAATCCTTAACCACAGTAAGGTACCCCCAGGAGATCAGCTCTCACTGAACCAGGTTTACATTCTGTGCCCTTGACACACCCTTTACACGACAATCATGCATGTTCTCCCAGCTCCTTCAGAGTGCAGTCTGTTTCTCCCATCTCACACCCATTATGCTGTATCTTTGCCAGGAGGGGAGGTGGAAGGACCTCCTGAGAGAAGCACATGTCTTGTTAGACAGAGCCTCTACCTAATTTTCAAGAAGGAAGATGTGCTAACCTTTACTGGGGAAAAATGAGGCACTTCTTGAAGCCCAGAATGCTCAAGAGAATCTGAAGATACCAGCATTTTTAGAGCATTGACCTTGATATCCCCATACAAACTTCAAAATCCCCTTCTTCCCAAATCAGGACTGAGCCTTTGCATGGGAGTGCTGATGGGCTGAAATGCTGGCCTCTCTGCTGTTCCACTGCCCTAATCCTCGGCATTCTTTGCCTTCTGGTGCAACACATGACTCTCTTGGCCATCAAAGAGGCTCCTGCCTTTTCCACTTTACCTTCACTGGTGATTCTTTTATCCTCTATCATTCCCTATCCAAGGCCACCACCATAACCATCCTACCTAACTCCTTAAATTGCTCATTCCTTTGAAATTCCCAAAATAACAACAACCAGTGTATTTTCTTCTCCCAGTATTCCATCTTAGGTCACTGTCATAGGTGAGAGCTGCAACAATTGCAGTACAATTGCATGCTGGTGCCTGTCATTGCTCTACCTATGAGGACACAGCCCTCATTGCAAGTGAGTGAACAGTGATCACCAAAAGTCTCAATCTGGAGCTACTTCCTAGGACCACTTTTGATAGAACTGGCTGTAAGTCAGCTTCCAAGGAAACAGACTTATGAGATTTGTGTAAAGAGGCATACTGGGGAGTGCTGTCAGAGTACATGTTGGGGGTGAAGGAAATAGGACTGAGCAAAGAAAACAGCTAACGTAAATATGGAGTCCTCATCCAGTCCTCAGGAGGTCTGAATGTGGGCAGGCACAAGAAGCAGCCATGACTTAGGGGAGGAGGCTCTTTTCAGATGAAATAATGCCCAGAGAGGAACTCAGCTAAGGACTGTCAGCTACCAGGGCTCTTGCACCACAGCATAACAACCCCTGCATAAGTGACAGAGAACTGCAGAAAGAAATGGCAAAAGGATTTCTTAATCAAGGTTGTAGGTCTGAGAGGTCATAAGAGGGATGGAGGCAATGAGCAGCTTCCATTGGCAGTATCTATATAAAGTAACATCAGAAATTTTTTTAATGAATAATATTCAGCATAAGGCTTTACACACAGTAAACATACAAGAGCTATTTGTGATTGAATCAATAGAGAAGGCTTGTGAGAATGAATTGGGAGGGACAATTAGGAATCCAGGGTATTAAGGCCACTAACCTAATTTGGGTAATAGGGACAAATACATCCACTTATTAGGGAAGTTGTTATTGTGCTCTCCATGTGGGGCCTGCCACACAGCTGGAAGTTAGTATTTACTAAGTGTAACTCATGACATTGTTGGACTATGGAATAAGATATTGTCATTTGCAGGCCTCTCAGCTTCTGAACCTGTTGGAGATTGGATCTGTTGTAGTGATTATTGTTTGGATCAGTCCCATGAATCACACAGATTTTAACAGATATAATCTTTCTGTTATTTGAGCCATGTCTTTTAAATCAGGAACTTGTACTGAATACTTGGAGTGTTGTATGCTAAAGACTACTTTTTTTAAAAAAGTGCTATTTTATAAAATAGAAGTTTTTCATAAAAGGAAAAAGTGGAGAAAATACTAACATCTGTTAAGTCTTTGTTTTCTGAAAAAAATTGTGAGAGATTTCTACTTAAATTCTGTTCCTAATACGATGAATAAATTAACCTATAAATATAATACCAAAGAGTTACTCACCATCAGTGAAAAGTAGTTGTAATTGTAATGCAATAGCTTTTTTGCATATACATGAAGCTATCTATGTAATGTACTACTTACTCTCTTTCATAACAGTGTCTTGATTGAAATTCTTTATCCCCGGAACTTCTCTTTAATCCATAAGAATCTTTTACATTTTTGCTTGTTTTTTGAGACAGGTCTCCCTGTGTAGCCCAAGGTGGCATTGAGTAATAATTCCTCTGCCTCAGCCTTTTGAGTGCCAGGATTACAGGCCTATACCACCATGCCCAAGCTACACACCTTTTAATAGTGTTGAAAAAAATAAACTATAGTCTCTCTGTAGATTCTTCATTTTCTGAGTTTGATAAACAAATCTTCTTAACCAAACAAATTCTAGTTCCAAAATCAGTGCTCACTGTATTTTATACACCAGTCAGTGGAGGCATGGAGAGATGAAATGGGAATGTTGAGAGTTGATGCCCATTTTTGTCCCTTTGGTCCCTTGACCTTTGATTGAACCCAACACTTATCTTGATCTGTACATGGCAGACCTGTGTCAATGTTGCCTAATCTGTGACAGTTTTTCTTGATCTGAGGGACAGATGAGAATCTCTTCCTCCTAGAAAGCAAGCAGTATTGAGATTTTTAACATTAAATAAAAGAAAAATAGAAATTCCTAGGCACCATCTGTGGCCATACTGCCCTTGTGGTGGTACAGCCAGTCTTGTCTGATCTCGGCAGCTAAGCAGGGTTGGGCCTGGTTAGTGCTTGGATTAGAGATTCCTAGGCCCTTCTCCAAGATTCTCCTGAAGCTCTGATGCACAGGGACATTGAGAACAGCTGCTGAGAATGTACCAGAACCACTCACTTAGACCCTGACTCCATGTGTCACCTGCTAGAAATGCTGAAGCCGAGAGCGGTTGAGTTACTGTGGACACATGCATAACTCATTGGCATTTTCTCTTTGCAGTGAAAGAAGCTGGAAGAGATTTCAGTTACTTAATAGTGGTGCTCATTGGAATCAGCATTACAGGTTACAAAACAGCAAGTACAATTCCCTGAGTATCTTTTAAATATAACTTTTCATCTTGCTCTTGCTTTGCTTCATCTTCTTTTTCTGTGATGTTTTTCAGGTGGCTTGTTATACACGATTTTCAAAGAACTTTTTTCTTCATCCAGTCCTAATAAGATATATGGGAAAGCCTTAGAAAAATGCAGAACACATCCTGAGGTTAGTTCTCTGAAAGGGAGAACATGTTGGGGAGGAGAAAGTGGGCAGAATTCAAGTGCCAGTTCTGAAACCAGTGAAATTATGTAGTAAAGCATTGGTTGGGTTGTTTTTATGTTATTAGGCCTTTGTTCTGTACTTGAAACACTTTGATCACAAGCCCCAAAAGTCAGTATGGATGTTTTCATCCTAATCGTACAAGTGAGTCACTTTACCAGTGGTTCATAGGTACATAAAGTACACCAAAGTATCAAATTCAACTGATGTCTCTAGTCTTTTTAAAACCTAATATGCAGCCTCATGACCATAATAGTAATTGTTGACATTTACCAAAAGTGTATTATATGTCAAGCATTGTGCTTAGTCTTGGTAAGTCTCACAAAAGCCCTTTGCATAAGTGCTAGTATTGTCTCTGGCTTGCAGAAGGGACCTGGCACCATTCACTAACTCAGTCATGATCTCTGAACTGGTAATTGGGAGAGCCAGAACCTGAATCCAAGTCTGTCTGATTCCAAATCTTACCCTCTTGGGTGCAATCTGCCTCAGCTATTTCCTGGAGGAGTGGATATGGGGACAAGCCAGCTCAGTTCTCTGAAGTACCCTGCCACGAGGAAAAGGTGTTACATAATGGCTTTCCAGTCACAGACATGCCAGATTTCTTATTCCCTGGGTGGAAAGCTGAAATCCTAATCCTAATCCTGTCACCCTGAAAGCTCATACCAATAGCATCCCAACCATCAGAGCTATTCTTCACACAGGCCAAGCAAGGAATAAGGTCAGAGGAGAATCTGTGGCCCCCAGCCAGGATAAGGATGTGAGTCCCAAGATCACTCTCAGAGTGATACTCTGTGCCACTTTCCTTGGGACATGGCTCTGAATGCTGCCTCAGCTTCTCTGATTGTCAGGGAAGAGACCTCAGAAGGTAGTCTCTTTTTAACCTACTCAATTGGACACTGGGCAGTGTGTGGGAACACAGAGAAATGTGGCCAAGAGGGTTGAAAGTTGGCCGGAACTAAGGAAGTATCCTACTGCAGTTATGACAACCCAGGTTATATCTGACAGGAAATGCTTTTCCAGTCTGTAAAAATAAATAGGAGGAGGAGCCTAAGAACCCATTCTTCCAGACACTGTGTCTGCTTGAAAAATGGTAAATCCTGATGTCCTGACACTGATGTGTTCAGTCAGTTAGCGTGCATTACTTAGACAGTTGCTCCATCTGTTTCTGCTGTGCAGATCTGAGGCATCTGCCATCCTGCACATTGCTCCTTTGCACTTACTCCCGGAAAGACACAGCAAAGAAACAAAACAGGAAAAGCTTTGCAGGGTCGAGGGCCAATTTTTTTTTTTTTTTTTTTTTTTTTTAGTTTGAGTTCACATATGTTTTTAGAGAGGATTCCAAAGTATTTGGTTTGGTTCATTTTTGTTTTTGTGTTTTGTGTTTTTATTCTTGGTGATGCTGAGAAGTAAACCTGAGGTCTTGTGCATACTGTGCAGGCACTCTACCTCTGAGATCTAGCCTTCCTCCCCAAATGTCATTATTTGCTTTTTACTTTGAATAAAAACTACATTTTTAATTTGCATGAATTTTCTTATTAGGACTAGTATTTGAAACGTATCGTTATCTGTTTGTTTTTTTTTTCCTTATTGTGTTGAGTGACTTACAATGTCACTTTTATCTCATAGTTTTTAGTATTGGACCCCATTAATTAAATTTCATTTAAAATGCTCATACATTTTATCTCAAAACCATGAGTTGTTGATAGAGAAATATTTGGATACTTTGTTTTGTGAGGTTTTATTTTTTAAGGGAAGTGGGAACAGCTTTACTTTAACTTAGTTGTGAATGAAGCCTGTAGCTTCATTGTTCTGAAACTACAATTGTCACTATAAAGTTACCCATTTCTATCTCTGAGCATGAAATATTTGTTTAAATTACCTGTGGGATGCTTTTTTGCATAGTAACTTTTTTTGTCCAGTTTTCTCATCATTAAAGTCACCATTTTTAAAAGCACTAGGCCTTACTGATTTTTTTTTCCTGAAGTAAATCACTTGGTCTGCAGAAAATATTTCCTTAGGGACCATTTATAATTAAGCATTATGTTTAATTTTGCAGGTGATCAGTGTCTTCGGTGAGCCTGTGAAAGGCTATGGGGAAATGACGAGACGCGGTCGGAGGCAGCACGTCAGGTACCACAGTTTCCTTGAAGTTGAAAAGCTCAGGGATGATTTTAAATGAAAGGAAATTAGACCTGTGCTTTCATTTTCTCAACAGTTTTATTGAATATGTGAAAGATGGGCTGAAACACACGCGTGTGAAATTCTACATTGAGGGCTCTGAGCCAGGGAAGCAAGGAACCGTGCACGTAGAAGTGAAAGAGGTGTGAGAATCATGTGTTGCTGGGAGTCAGTGGTTCAAAGCAGTGTTGTTTAATCTCTAGAAAAGGAAATAACACTTGGAAATATGTTTTTTTCAGAACCCAGAGAGTGGCAAATGTGAGTATCGATATATATTTGTGGAAGTGGAATCTTATCCTAGAAGAACTATTGTCATCGAAGATAATCGATCCCAAGGTAGTTAGAAGAGGAAGCGCTTGCTGAGGGGTGTGGAGTGGTACAGATGCACTGTGAGCTGCACAGCCCCTTCAAGAATCAGCTCAGAAGAACAAAGCTGGAAAGAAAAGTGAACATAACAGGATATTTGATGTGCTTAGACAAACCAAATTAGAGATTGTCTTGTGAAAAATTATGAAATAGAGCATATTTTACATTATCTCATTGAATTGTTGATCATGATAGTATTTCTGCTTACTTATCTTTCATGATGAGAATTTTTTGTTACTGAAAACTTTACACCATGTAAATAAAATGGATTTCAATATTTTATGCATTTTACATTGTATAATTATGTAAAGTCTGCAGACTAAAAACTAACAAAAAGGTATCAAAAGCAGTTTCCCTCCATGTAGTTTGGAAACTGACTTGAAATAAATATGTGAAAATACTTGAAAACTATTGTGAACCAGATGATAAATACATCACGGGAAGGCTGTATTCACTATATGATCTTTAGGAATCTTTTTTCAGGTGTCCTCCTCCATGAGTTGAGGGCATTATACAAGATGGGTAGGTTGACTCACCCCACATTTTCTGCTGGATGTGTGAGACTGGCAAGTACCTGAGCATTGGCAAGCCCTACTATCCTGTGGTTGGTTAGAGTGACTGAGCAAGACCATAGAGAGGTGTTCCCAGCCTCTTCAGAACTTGAACTGATGCTTTGCACTGCCAAGAAAAGCCTGGAAATATATGGGATTCATTTAAATGTGTACATGAGGCTCTATTTAAAAAGCAAAAATTTGAAGTATTTCCTGAGAGGTTCTTAAAAAGTGACCTTTACTTAGAAGTCCTGATCACATAACTAAAGTGGAATGTGCAGTGGGTGGTCTAGAAAAATCTTTAGCTCTGGTAGCTTCAGTGTGCAGCTCCCCATTAGGTGTTTCTTCTTCATAACTGTTGGTGGAAGGATTTCATATGTGTTCTTAAGATAGGACAAATTCAAGATAGGATCCCCAGGCAGTCTGTCTCCCGGGCTTAGTTTATTTCCTTACTTGAGTTAATTTTTTGGCTTAACTGCTATTAAGAAACAGGATTGTAGAAATGATGGATGTAAAGTCTTGTCACATCCAAAAGTGACTCTGCACAATAAAACAAGGGAACAACCCCAAGAACATAAACTGAGTGCTTCTAGAAAACTGAAGGATGCCAGGAGCAGAGCTGGCAGAAGAAAAACAGACACTGCTCTTCAGTATATGAGCACAGACATCCAAAAGTGGTTTGTGGAATCACCACACTGTAAGACCACTTTTTTCATAATACGACAAAGCAAAATGTAAAGAAAGGAATAATCTGATGAAATAGTTACTAGAAGCATAGTATATACTTTGATTCCTCTTTATTGACTAGACTTCATAGATTTTTTTTTCCCACTTAGAAAAATGTCTTGTTCACTTTGAGAACAAAAATTTCTCATGGAAAAAGTTTATTTGGCTTCAGTAAAAGTGGTTTGGCCAGTCAGTTGAAAAGCTGCAACCTAAGCAGAAGCATGACGGCTTTTTGCATCAATCAGATGCATCTGCAGATACCAGTGGGATTATGGCCCCACCTTGCTTTTCATTGTGGGATATACAATGCTACCAACTATGGGTTACTATGAGAAAGGTACTCTCTAGATTGCTCCAACACCCAGAAAATTTGCTGGGTTCTCTGCCCATTTTTCCACCAGCACCCTATTTCCAGATTTCTCACCCAGCCTATAAAGAAATTAGAAAGTGCTTCTTGCCTGATTTATAATCCTAACATTCTTGATAGGGCATAAAGTGCCTCTCTCTCTCTCCTCTCTCTTTGGGCTGTCTACCTTACTTAAACTTTTGTTTAAAACCATTAACAAAAATGCAAGATCATCGTATTATGTTTAGCATGTTCCAATTCCATGTTATACTTCAGAATCTGAGGACTTTTTTAGGAGCAAAAGCATCAATATTAAAGCTATTATAAAGGTCAAATTCATGGATTGGAGAGTTCTGTCTTTATTACTTGCAGTTGGTGTCAATAGCTACATTTACTGTTTCCAGAAACTATTATTTGATGTTTGTAACATCAACTCATGAGAAGGATGACACAAAGAAAAGGACCACAGTGATTTTGGCCAATCATGATACTCCTCTAGCCAAATGGTGCTCACATCTATGAGAACTCACTGTGTACATTCACTGATTGTTCCCACCACACAAGAAGGTGGAAATAGAAATGTTCATTTCTTTAAGCAAAATTGTCAGCACCATTTTAGAGAGAAGTAAATTCTATCAAATGCTGAAGGAGGCACATGGCTCAAGACCTTCAATTACATCACAAAAGATGCTTCCAAAATAAGGTCACATCCCAGGCTCCAGATATTAGAGCACAGACATGTCTTTTGGCCACCGTTCATCCCATGACAGGGCCAGAGAATCTGTGCTCTTTAATGGAATTCTTGAATAACTTGGATGATTGGAAACCACTGGACTAGGGAGTTTCTCCACTATCAGTTCATTATCAATTTCATTGGCCCCTGATTCTTTCTGGGTGTTGGTTTTTGCCCTGTAATTAGGCTGTCCTTTAACTGGGGACAAGAGTCTCGGTAAACCAGCAATCAGGAGGTAGCCACATCTAAAAACGCTACCTGGGGCTGAACTCTTTCTGCAGAACTGCAAATGTGCTGCTCCCTCCTCAGCTGTGCCACTTGGGACTTTGTCACCATCTGTTCACATGACATCTCCAGTAATTTAATAAGGACCAGCACATGGAACATAACTCACTTTCAGGAGAACATTTAACCTGCTATATAGGTAAATTATTTGACTCTTCCTGGTAAAAGCAATGAGATATGTCCTTAATGCAGCTTCCATTGGGCCCCTATATGTCCAAAGGGAAATGGAGAGGATGGTAAAGCCAGCCGAGGTCTCCTCCCTCCAACTGAGCCTCCACTTGCTCCAGCTGATCCACTGAGAGTTGAGTGTTGAGAAGTAGAGTGTAGACCCTAACTAACACAGTATGACCAAAAAAAAAAAAAAAAGCTTGACAAAAGAATAAGAATTTTTAGGCTGGGTGCAGTGACTTAAACAAATAATCCTAGCTACTTGGGAAGCAGAGATCTCTGGAAGATCACATTTAGAGGCCAGCTCAGGGAAAAGAGACCACGAGACCCCATCTCAACCAATGGCTGGAAGTGGTGATGCACGCATCATTCCAGCCATGCAGGGAAACACAAATAGAAGAAGTCCAGGCAGCCTGGGCATAAAATGAGATCCAATGTCAAAAATAACAAATGCATGGGTTGAGGATGTAGCTCAGTGGTAGAGCATTTGTGTAGCATGTGTGAGGCCCTGGGTTCAATCTCCAGTACAATAAATAAATACATGATAAATAAATAACCAATGCAAAAAAAAGGGCTGAGGGCAAGGCTTAAGTGTTAGAGCACCTGCCTAGCAAGTGTGAGGTCCTGAGTGCAACCCCCAGTACCACCAAAAAGAAAAAAAAAAGAATTTTTTAAAAGATGAAAACAAATTTAAAAGTTTTTAAAGTCCAAAGAAAAATATATTGACACTCATAGAGCTGTTTTGTTTCCCCCACCTTCTGAAACCCATTAAACCAGGGATGATATTATTCACCAAATATGGTGCCCTGTGACATGACTGACCAGATATTAGGAGCCTGAGTTAGAAGCCCAGTAGAGCCCAGCCACCTATCTGCTAAGGCTAAAGTGCAGTGTGTTTCCTGTTGAAAATGCAATTGGGTCTCTGTTCACCCTAAAGCCTTTTACAGATGTCTCTATGAACCACTTTTGACATCATGGCCAGAGAGAAATCCCAGGTGTGATTTTTTTTGCTTACCTGAAATAGACTTTGGAGATATCCTTTGGTCCTTATGGAAATTATGACATTATGAAGAAATATTCATAAAAACTAAATGTTCATTACAATTCTTAGGAGACCAGCCTTCAAATCTGAGCATATTTCCAGAATAAAAAGAAAGATTGGATTGCTCAATGCACTTAAAGGGTTTAGCTTAATTAGATTCTGTCTTTTGGTCAAAATAATTTACAAAACAAAAAGAAGATAAATCCCTGACTCTGAAGCATTTTTAATATGCCATTCCTTATCCAAATTATATTGGGCAGAACTATCTGGAAAGAAATTGAAGCTATTCTGCATGTCTTTTTAAAACCTTTTCATAGAATTTAATGGTATTTTAAAAGTTATGTTCTGATTTTATCACTGGAAAAGAGAAATGTATTCTTTTTGCTATGAAATTTTTTTCTCATGCATTGTATTCTGCATACGATTTTTCTTACATTATTATTTTACTATTTCCTGCCACCCATTTTTATTAGTAAGATTTTCCTTATAGGAGTTCTGTTCTATACTCTTGTGATTGGTTTCCCCTGTGAAAGAGTGTGAGCGTGTGTGTCTCTTATGCATGGTGGAGTTGGAGTTTAATAATTGCAATCTCAGCTTCTCACTCTGTGCTGTACACGAGACCATCCAGGAAGCCCCAGGGAGGTGCCACCCCATCCAGCTTTTCTTCTGTGCACAGGACAGGAACATTGAAGAAATCAGTGACTGTGCAACCTATATTCCTCCTCTTTAGGGAAAAAGTTATTTAAGAAATCTTGATACTACCTGAAAAATCAAGGTAGTCTTAGATTATTGTATTAGTCAGTTTTTCATCACTGTGACAACATCTGAGAGAAACAAATTAAAAGAAAAATAGATTTTGGTTCATAGTTTCAGAGGTTTCAGTCCTTCGTGGTGGAGGTGTAGCAGAGCAAAGCAGCTCAATTCATGGTGACCATGAAGCAGAGAGAGAGAAAGAGACAGAAATGGAGGGAGTCTGTTCTATTAGCCACTGAGTGAAGCAGGAACTGTTAGGGGGAAAATATGTTTGAATGCACCTTCCAAGTGTCTTCTATCAGCTAATAGATAGCTAATATATAGAAAGCTGAGCGTGCCCAGATGTGTTCCTGTCCCAGCATCTTTATGACAAAAATGAGTAGACCCTACAGTATTCCTATCTGCCATTTTTAATCTTTCAACCATGTGCTCCATTACCTTGACATGAGCGTCTCCCAAAATGTACCCTTCATCTGTCCTTCTTGAAGGAGGACCTTAAACTGAGTGCGCTCAGGAATGTGCCTACCCGTGACATGCTTCCTACATGAACACGCGGAAGCACCCTGAATAAAATCCCCACGCTTTGTTTGAGGAGGGCATGGCTTTGGAAATAACTCCTGTGCTCTCCTTACCTGCTCCAGG